GGGCCCCTTCGAAAGCAGGTGGCCCCCTCCTGGGCGAAATCCTGGGTACGTGCCTGCTGGGAGCTAAACCGTTGACCTTAAGGCAGCACTGCAGCTCCATTGGTTCCTGACTCATGCGCCGATTTGTGAAAAGTTGTCAAAATTGGGAACCAAAAGTTGGTGAAAATTTTACCTTTGGTGACCTCCAGTGACCTGAGCGATGACCTGATCGAAGATGACATGGGTAATTCTTAAATATACTGTAGCGAGCTATCTGTTGCTTTTTACCGCGTCTTTCTAGGTTGCTCACTTTCCGAGATAATCTGGTGTGGCCAAAAAGCCCCTCTCCCACCATGGCAATGTTGGCTGAGAGACCCACGCGGGCGCTGGCTCGGCAAAACATCCATAGTTTTGTCTTCCGTTGACTACATATTACTCTTCATGTCGATTTAGAGACAATATTTGGCTATTTCAGCAAATTGAGGAGGTCGTCGGTTTTACTGGGGACGGTCCCCAGTAACCGAAAAGTTACTGGGGACCGGTCCCCAGTGTCCCCAGTGGTGGTTACGCGCCTGGTTGCTGCTGTTCTAAATATCGTGCGGCCGTCTCCAATTTCCAGGGGTATCGCCGAAATACAATGCGGACACGCCGAATTCGGGCGTCTTTTGCTGCCTGCGCCGAAATTAAATGATCTAATGCCGATCACCGCTATAAACGGCCGACATGCAATGCTATACTGATACACAACTGATACATAGCTTAGCGGTATGTCTACAAAGAATCCGCCAGGTCTAAAATGGATGCGTACGTACCGAAATAAACTAACAAAAGGTGTATACCTACACCAACATTCAACATAACCCTACCTCAGTTCATACCTGCATAGGGTTTACATTATACCTACATTGACATATCCACACTTAAAAAGCTTAGATCCTGAATCACAGTTTTCACACAGTCACAGTCTCACATAATCACAGTCAGTCTTCAATCATGTAAGAAAAGCTTGCAATAAAGGTTTCATGCATATGAAATATGGGAGTACATATGAAACATTCATTTATGTAACATATCAAACATGGCCCTGTTTCACCGGTGATAGCAGCACGCTGCTATTACACGTGTCAAATTGGGTTTCCATGGAAACATCAGCAAACCACGATGCCGTCAATCTGTGTGATGTCATCAAATATTGCTGCTAACATCTTCACGGCTGTGCGATCAAACAAATGTATCAAACGCATTCAACCAGACAGCAACTCTGTTCCAAACGCAGCTATGAAAAAGCTCACGGATTACACGAAACGTCATTAGTGTAACGTCATCACATTACGTCAGCTCGCGCAATTTGATAGCAGCGTAAGATGTAAACATGCGACTAAGCGGCAGTCATCCTCCGAGTTTTCTGTGCAATTCGGCGATGTTTCGATTAGACCTTCCCCGGCGGTGAAAGTGTTGGGGATGGATGTTGACGGAGGATTAACGTTTGAGAAGCATGTTTCTAGTATAGTTAGACGGTGTTATGCCACTCTTGGTGGACTATCAAAAATGGCTGGCAAATTGCCAGAACCTGTGAAGAAAATGATTGTTGAATCACTTATTTTTCCGCATCTCAGTTATTGCTCTTCTGTGTGGGCCGGCTGCAATGCTACCCAACGGCATCGCTTACAAAAAGTGTTGAACCATTGTGCACAGGTGGTGAAGGGGGCAAAACGGCGAGACCATGTAACGCCGTTATTAGCTGAGCTAAAATGGACGTCACTTGACAACCTTGTAGCCGAGCGCGACGTTTCCCAGATGCACTATTTGCTAAATAACGAACAGGCGCCCGGCAGCCTGACCGCGTGCATTGTACACCGCAGTGATGTAGCCACTAGGGACACCAGAGCCTCTCTGGCTGGTCTTCTGCAGATTCCCAGGGCGCGCAGTGAGCATGCACGAAGGTCCTTCTTTTATCGTTCGCCCGCTCTGTGGAACCGGGCGCCGGCTGAAGTGAGAGAGGCGCGCTCTGCGACGGCGTGTCGCAGAAGGGCGAGGAAATGGCTCGCCATGTCCTCGCCATAGCGGATAGCCGAGTAGGACACCGGACATCGGATTTTACCAATCTTTTAGTGTATCTATGTCTTTTTATCGCATGTTTACATCTTAACCTGTATTGTGTGTATGTACTATTTGACTCTTGTTCTGAAAAGCCATGAATGTGGATGAACATATGAATACATGATGATGATGATGAGCGTGCTGCTACCTATCACCGTGAAACAGGGCCCATGTATAGTGTTTGACATTTGTGACTTGGGAGTTTCACCTTACCCTATGAGCTCGGATATTACTATAGCAGCCGCTGGAGTACAAGTAGTCTAGAAAGCCTCAATCCTCATAAAGCAAGTGGGCCTGATCAAATATCAAGTCGTGTTTTGATTATTGGACAAACAAATGTCCAGACAAAAAAAAAATCATGGGATGAAAAAAATGCACAGACAAAGAAATACACAGACAAAAAAGCACATATCAAAAATGCACAAACGAAAAAATGTACAGTCTGTCTTAAAAGTACCGCGCAAAGTGGCAATGGATCCATCAAGCCTGACCGAGAAAGGGTCTGCTTTAATTTGAAAGTCACCGACCAATTGACCTAGGGAATGGACGAGGATGTCAATTGCTTCAGTGACCCAAATTTGGCAGGCCCTTCCTCAGTCAGGCTCGATGGATCCACTGTCACTTTGCGCGGTACTTTTAAGACAGACTGTACAGATGGAAATTATGACACTAAAATAATTGGATGAAAATCTGCAAACAAAAATATATCCAACAATAAAATATTAGATGAAAATCTGTCAGGTCATAAGTTAGTATTGGGTTTCCATGGAATCCAACAAATTTGGATGCTCTAACACCTCAACGTGGGAAAGCATTCAGGACACCAGAATGCCCTATCTGGTAACTGGTTGATATTGTCTTGGTCAGGAGACGCTTTATGTAAAAGTAGATTAAACGAAAAAGCTCACTTTGCTGAAACTAGTATTTTAGGGACGACAGTGAAAACAGGGCGCCTGGGGCGATTTAATCGAGATTCATGAGGTTTACACGTGACGTTGAGCATGTAGAAGGCCCACGGAGGGGGAGAAGTTCCAAATGTCACGTGACTAATATGCCCTCCGGCGCCCTGTTTTCACAGGCGTCCTATTTTAGTACCTATGGATTTATGATTTTTTATGCTCAAAATGATAAGAAATACCTGATAAGATAGGATTAGGAAGGCTCTGTGGCCTGGTCGATCCTCTCTTGATGAGCCCCCAGCTTTTTGAATTGGATGACCTTTTATACAATAAAAACTTTTTGTAAAAACATTATTTTCTATATTTTAATATATTAATAATTATATTCCTTATAAAATAATGTTTGACGTAGAAGCTTATTATGCGTTAACCAATCATATTGCATAGTTCAAACCTACGGATACTGCATTGGCTGTAAGCAGCATGCTGATTGGCTGATGATGACATGGCTGCATTCCTCTGCAAGGCGCTAATTCCTCTGTCTTTTTGGAACGAGAAATGGAATATCTTCATCTAGGGTGGTCATTGAGCTGTAAATGCCTCTGATTTGTGCTAGTCCCAGCAGCTACAAAACTGCTATTCCAGTTCAAAATTCCATGTTAAAACTTAAAAGTGAACTATTTCCTTTAATCAGTCGGGCGCACTATGGTATCGGCAGTCCATTTATGGATACGTATCTATTAAAGGAAACATTTCCAAATTTGGAAGGCACTTTGTTCCATTTATGGAAACGCCAGTTCCAAAATTGGAAACGCCAATTTTTAAGCAGGCATATTTCTGTATTTCTTAAGTTAATAGTAATCTTTTCAGCTGGCGTGTCTTTTTGTCGATATGTTTTCTCCCAAAACAGTAAAATCCAACAATATTTTCGTACGCAAATGGCGAATCTGATGCCCTGACGCAAACCCTTGTCAACGTTCCATTTTTGGAAACAGAAGGTTCCAAAAATGGAAACTATGAGCCAACACAGGAAAAGGCATAAGCACCATATTATTGATATGTGGGCCTGTCTACCCCACGCCCTCTAAGTAATTGCCGAGCTATTGATGCCGGTACATGTTCCGATATGGGTGATTTCCCTTTGCATCTAAATTTCGTATGAATGGTCCTCCAATTGCTTGGGCATAGTGCCCGAAAGCCGATGTTGGTACAATAATGCTTACGAAAATGTGTCTTCTGGGGAAAGTCCCCAATTTCTAGGCACCTACATAAACCCCAGAACTGTCCAACCGTCTTGCCTACTAAGCTGCTACTGCTTACGAAACCCACATTATAACATATTTTAACTGTTGCAAGCATGCATGCATGACTGCAGTAAGCGTCGCGATGTGCCCTGAATTGCGGATAACAGACTCTGGCTTCCCAAGAAAAGCAAGGCTTTATAAGTAAGGTTGGAGTTAAACTTCGGCCTAATCAGGCCGGTTCAGAAGCTCGGGTTCGCATTTTATGCTGTCGGAGCGTGCACCTTTTCCAACCTTCTCGTGGATTATTAGAAATGAGAAAGGCAGAAAGTGCTTCTAAAAACATTAAATGCAAATAAGAGTTGAAATACATATAACCTACTGCATCTGTGAGCTTAATGTACAACATGAGTTAAAATTCGTCATTTGTTCCAAAAATGGAAACTGTGCTTCATAAAGCATTATTCAATGGACCTTACACAGGCTCTAACTGAAGGCCTACTGAACTAATACGGTGCAAAGTGGGCAATTAGTACAGTTTGAGCATTTCCCCATCCATAGAAATTGTTTATAACACCTTGTCATCTCTTTTTCATATAATTGAATCGTTTAAAACTGGACGACAGCTTGGATCGCTTCCGACAAGCAGTAACATATCAGACCTTTAATGCAATTATTTACATACATTCTACCAACTTTCACACATTCGTAAGTTAAATGGGTGCTAAGAAGTTCAGTTTGCCCACTTAGAAGCATCTGTACGAAATATTTTCCAACTTACCGCCTTCCAAAGCTGGAAAGACGATCTCCGCACGTGGTCACCAACACGCCATTCAGGGCTTGCTTTACAGCAATGTAAAATATTAATGAATACCAGACAGCAAGTCTGTCAATTAAAAAATTGCCATTCTTGTGAAAATCAAATTTTTCCACAAAAACATGAGGTATATTTCATTAATGACACATAAAAGTTCACCTATCATGAAAAAATCTATTGTTTACAAAAGGAAGTGGACCGTGCAAGCCTGTTCAACAGCCGATTTTTCTGTTCAACATTGGAATTATGAAGCGAAATGCGGTCTTTTGATTGGTGGCCTTTGTTTGATGCGGAAATCTATGGTTTGTTGCGGAAACTACCGAACAGGTTTATGTGCTCCTTGCGTTTCCGAAAATAGAAACGGAGCGTTTCCATTATTGGAACAGTTGGTTTTTAGCGTTTCCATTTTTGGAACTTTCTTCCAAAAATAGAAACGTTTCTATAAATGAACTGCCGATACCATAGGGCTGTTCGGCTGCGCAGCAAAAATGAAATATGCTGCAGCACGCATGCGCAGTGAGGACTTCGTCGCCTGTTAGTCCCGCCCACACCACTGCGTCACCGCCTGTGTGACGTCACCTACTGAAGCATGCTTCGTTTTCCTGCAGCACGAAATTTGGTGCTGCAGGAGGCGAAAGTGGCGCGGATTAAAGTTTACCGTCCAATATTTCTTATTGTAAGTGGTTTGTATGCTGTTTTTTGGGTATCATTATCACTCTTTTCGGTGGCACATTGCTAATAACCACATTTGAACGCAAATTAATCGTTATTTGAGCGACAATCACCAGTCCACCCACGCAACGGTTCGCCGCGTTTGAAATAGGCTGCGGCGACGCTCGGCCGCGGCGTGCCGGCGGAGAGTGGGCGGAGCCAGGCGGTTGACGTCACCCAAGTATGACGCACGCAGCACAGATCTATGCTGCAGGGACCCGAACAGCCCTCATAGTGCGCCCGACTGTAATGGCACAAAAAGGTAGAAGGTACCCATTTTTTGGCGCAAATTGAAATCATGAAAAATTTCAGCGCAAAACCCTGATCCCGTGCGCCGAAAGCACCTCAACCTTGTAATTGTAATGGCCGAAAGAGGGTCTCACGCAAGGCCGTATAAGAGATAAGAGGTCTCACGCTGGGTCTAACGGACGTCCAGCGAAGACGAGCCAAAAAAAAAAAACAGCAAAAGCCCCATCAAACAAACCTGGACCGACTCGATCAAATTTGTATCAGTATGATCCCGCACGTGATACGAATCAATCTGGATCAATCCTTGGATCAAATTCAATAATCAATCGATCAACCCGCTTTTGCCTTTTGCCAAGGTGGCCAAGGTCGCCTTTTTACCAAACTATGCTTAATTTACAGCAAAACATGCATTGCAGCGTTTTAACAAGCGCACCGACGGGGGGCGGACCTTGACCTTTCGAAGTTAACATATACATCATTCGATGCGGATTGACGAGAGGATCACGATGGTGCCCTTAGTTTGTTCCTATCTTGACTAGTTCGAAAGTTATTCGAGAAAAACTCCATATCTAGCGCCGCCATTTTTACTTTTTTGACCCCTGTGACGTCATCTTTGACCTGACCTGAAAATGGTAAAAATTGTAGACCTTGTCCGTGCGTATCCCATACCGTTTACCGCTTGTCGCTATCTTGCTTCGTTCTCGAGATCTCAGGGGGGAGGGGCGGTCATCCTCCCCCCCCCCTCCCGTCCGTACTCAGTCGGCGCAGACCCCGCTCAACCGGTGTTCTATACGACATCTAACACTCACACTTAAAGGGGGTTCGAACGGCCCACCCCCCACCCCCAATAACTCGCGCACAATGCGGCCGATCGCGACAAAAATCTCAGTAGCCTCGAATTGATCAGTTTTACACCCGTAATCTGTAAAATTTCATGATCCTGACCCAAATGACCTTTGACCTCGGACCTGATTCTCGAGACCATGTTCGGCAGGAATCGCGATTTGGCGTATGCCGGCTCACATTATCCGCGTATTTCCAGTCTTTTTGTGGTTTTGAACGTTCAAACATGTGGAATGGTTTTCGTCTCATGCATTATTGTGGGTGTCAAGGTCACGTGAAGGTAGGCCATGACCTTTGATGACCTCGGTTCACTTTTTTTAGTTTTACACGTTCCTAGAGTAGTTTGGTAACTTCGTAACATGTTACGAAGCTATCGGTGGTGGTTGACACCTACCTTGGATAGCCGGCAGGACGCCTGCTGGTTGACCTACACGTTCTGTTTACACCATGTTTATTCAGTGAAGAAGGGTCTGAAGGACAAAATATAGTTCACATGACAACACGTCTGGCGCAGTCTCCTTCACAGCGTCCGCCTCGTTCTGCGATCACAGTCTGCCAGAAGTGACCTCTTGAGTGTGGCAGTCCGGCCGGGCACCCATCATCCCTCCCCACGAAAGGAGGGCGAGCTGCCCCCCAGTCAAAGTCAGGGTTCCTTCCAGGAGCGCTTAATCTTGGGTGTTTCGGCGGCGGAGGCAGCGGTGGCGACCAGCGCAGGTGGGGCAGCGGCAGCGGCGGTGAGCGGTCCGGACTCTCCACCGGCCGCCGGGAGCGCGCTCTGGGCGCCGACCGGGGGAGCGGCCAGCCGCGGCGCCGGCACCACGTAGCGCGCGCCGCGACCACCGCGGCCGCCACCGACGCCGCGCCGGCGGGCGTACGCGCCGCGCACCGTCACTGGGCGCGGCTGGCGCGGGCCAACCAGCCGCGGCCGGCCGCGGGGGCGCTTCCCGCCTGCGGCAGCGTGAACAGGCAGACACGTGTCACAATCGGCGGCATAGCACAGCAGAACAGCAGCACACCTACACGTACATAGTACACAGCCCAGACGGACAGGAGTCATACCTCCCACTGCGGCCGTTCAGCCCAGCTCAGCCCACACCAAGGAGGCACTATTACAAACTTAAAAGAGCATTCGAGTACGTTACATGATTGATGATTCACATTGCAGTGCATACTGCATAAACAGCTACCAGCGCTTTACAGCCCTTCCCGAGAAGGCGGCGGGGAGCGGGGCGGAGGGACGGCACCTACCGGGGGTGAGCGGGGACGGTGCGCTGAACCGCGGCCCTCCCAGCATCTGCAGCGGAGGCGGCGGCAGCACCAGAGTCGGTCCGGGCGTCGGCGACATTAGAGACGCGCCCGGCGCCGACAGCAGTTCCTCCTCCTCGACGTCGGAGCCTGACTCGGAGTCGGAGCCGGATTCGGAGCCCGCCGAGTCGCCCAGGCCATCGAAGCCGCGACCCCGGCCCACGCCCGTGTAGCAGTCCTGCGCAGGCGGACGGCGACACGTCGTCAGTTGTGCCGCTGCTCCAACACAGCCTGGCCGCCACACAGCCCCGACAAAGCTACGTAATAGGAATAAGAAACAATTCTCGAAATCATCAGCTCACCACGTCCGGAACGGCACTCAGAGAGCAAGAAGGGCGGCCTGATGGAAGTAATTACGTTGCCTAGCAACCCAGTCTTTTGATCAAATAAGGTCTCACTGTGCATGGAGAGGCTGGAAGGTCTCACCGCGCAGACGAAGCTGGTAAGTTTGGCGTCCTCCAGTCCGACACAGATCGGGTGGTAGAGGCAGCGGCAGATGAGACACTGAGCGGACGGCAGAGCTACTGGCGACCGCTCCGACTCGCGGAAACAGAACAGGCTGCACGGCGCCGCCAGCCGCCGCCGACTGCAGCACACAGACACATAACAAACTGGTCAGAGTCGGAGAGACAGGCCGCCACCGACTGCAGCACACAGACACACATACACACAGGTCAGACTGGGAGAAACCGCACAGGCTGCACGGCGCCGCCAGCCACCTCCGACTGCGTCACAAGAACACGGGCATACAGGCAAAGCCTCCCTCCGCACACATACAGGTGAGACCATAACCATGACCGTGCTCACATATAGTAAGACCCTACCGCGGTCTTAGCACCACTCACCACACAAACCGGCCCAACCATTCTATCGTTAGCCAGGTCAAACCATTTGTCATATCACCAGTAAGACACGTCATTTTACGGTAACAAACGAGCCAGCGCAAAAGTGAGCCGTTATACACGTCGCAAGTGTAACGCTAAAACCCCGTCCCCAACTGATATGCGCTAACAACCCTTCTGAACAGTTTGCCCAATTTGAACGCAATTGGCCCAGCCGTTATAGAGATGCGAAAGGGATCGATCCCTGCACGCGTTCACGTGCAGTAGCACACTAAGGTCGGCCGACCGGCTGCTCATACCCGCAATGTCCCGTTAATCTGCTTGAGACCGCGTTGCGGGCTCGCCCACAGCTATCACTCACCCGATGAGTACTTGGTCGGTGGTGTGCGGCGCCGCGGTGCCGCGCACCAGTCGGAAGTACTCGCCGGTGGCGGCCGGGTCGGGCGGCTGGCAGACGCTCAGCGCGCCCAACTCGTCCACCTCTGCCAGCAGCCACGGCCGGCGCAGCAGCACCCGGCCGCGCTCGCCGCCGCCGCCCGGCGGACGGCCGCGCCGCTTCACAGGGTCCGCCGGCTGGCGGCGCGGCGGGTTACATGTGTCAGGACGGCAGCGGACGTGGCGATCGGCGGTCTCTGGGCTACGTTTCTAAGGGATACCACTAGGCGATTTGATAAAATAGCAACAAACCACTGTGATGCCATATGTAATGCAATAACATCGAGTGACGATGACACGTAGATACTGCACAAAGCACTATCATCCTAGGATAAACATACCTTTGGCTTTGCCGCTTCGGACTGAAACACCGGCATTTTCTTTTTCAGTTCCATGGCTTTGAAGGCGAATAGCTTCCGTGACTTTTCCATCAGCGAATGTTTCCGTGGCAGTTTCTGCGGGTTGGCCGCAGCTGGCGATGGCAGCTGGAAATGAGAATAATGGGTTTGAAGTCTTAACACCACTGCACAACTATTATAATCCAGCACAAAAGCGTGTATCATCAATAAATACTAAATCAGCAGCTGATACACTTATGCATGAAGCAAGATGCCAGGACTACTTTTTCAAACACAATGGAATGGTGTGCTAACAAAAAATGCAGGCCACCCACACAAACAGCGTTTCCTGCCAACAATCCACAACCACATCATTGATGGGTGGTCCATAAACAGGAAGTGCTATTAACTCGACCAAGACATGTTTCCCCCGGATGAAGAATGACCGAGACATGTCTTCATTCATGACCCCGCTAGCATACAGCTACGCCAGGGAAGTGATTACAGCAGGCTGCGACTGGCCGGTAATAAGGCTGGGTCCCCAAGCCAATTCACCCGCGGGCGGCAGGGTCCCATCTACGGGCCGGGCCCGGCTGCGGCCCACGGCACATACCTTAATCACAGACGAGGCGTCTCCAATAGTTATGGTATGCTTCTTGCGCTGAATCTGCCGACACATGGGCCCGAATTCAGTAATTCGGATAAAAAACGATAAAACACAACACTTCCACGTCTCCACGACGGTGTTACGACGGGCGTCTCATGTCAAACGTCACATGACGGGGCATCGGCGTCGGAGTCACACTGCCTACCCATGTCAGACTTAATCTGGGCATCAGCTTAGCGTTTGCAGGCATAGATCGACATTTAGAGAACACAAATTTGGAGTGGACATCATCAGTGACACATTCTCACCTTTTTCGCCACTGCCGCCTTCTTGCCAGCTATCGCCGCCGCCGCGGTCAGTGCAGCCTTCTTGTTGGGCGACACGGCAGAGGGGGTGGCAGAGGTCGCGGAGCCGACCGGGCGCGCCTTCCGGAGCCGCTCCAGCGGCGGCTCGGCGCCGAGCAGGTGACGGCGAAACGAGAAACACGTCACGTCCAGCGGCGAGCCGGACCGTTTGACTGTCACAGAGCCGACCAGAGCAGCACGTCAGTGGTGCAGTCGATACTGTGTACTGAGAGCCCGGTCCCGGGGCCACAACACGCTTCAATATCTACCAGCAAGGCACTGCAATGCCTCATCAGAAATCGCTACAACTTACAAGAGCCACCATATTAGTTCTAAAACAGCTGGCATGGGCCGTCCATGCCCCACCAGTACCGTACCTAAAACAGCCGACGTAAATGGTTCCGTTCCAGCAGGGATACTAGCAGACACAGTAGAGCCCCACCCTCTGTTCCGATCCGACGGGGACACTCATAGTACAACAGCCCCCACCCCCTGTTCCGGTGGTGGCGGGGAACACTAACAATAGAGACTAGAGTCCCACCCTTTGTTCCAGAGGGAACAAGCACAACAGAGCCCCACCCCCTGTTCTGGTTGGGGACACTCACGGTAGAGCTCCACCTCGTTGAGGGAGCGCAGTTTGCGGCCTTCTGGCGAGAAGTAGTAGGCGTCGGCGCGGATACCGGCCGCGCGACTGTCCTCGGCAGAGGCGCGCTGCACCAGCTCGCGCCGCCAGCCTGGCAGGACGGGCAACGGTTAGAGGGCAGTTATAGTACCTACCCTGTACTGGTAAACCCTTGCCGGACCCATCGGTTTTCTACATACGCGCTGGCCAAGGGGGAGCATCCCGAGCCCCTCGCCATATCGCCCCTAATCGAGCTAGAGCATCGCGGAACAAATGAGCGCGTGCACTGTAACGCATATTTACGTCTGGACAACGAGTTGCGTTGGAGAGGCCGGAAATAGTGGCGATTTCTGGACCGCAAGAATGGACCGTCATTGGAATGATTCTTTTTCAAACCGTGCACTGTTTTTAGCCGGAATTTAATAGTTACTACAAAATATTTTTGTCATTACATTTGGCTAAGAATGAATGCCATCAGGGAAGGTTTTACTGCCGCTGCATTTTGTCCAGAAACATATAGTGCTGTTATATTGCAGTTTTTGCGCTTTTGTTACAAAATATGAAGCGAACATGCATCAGGCTCTCGTCCATCCACTAAGAAGTTATTAAATATTTTGTTTTGTGTATTCCAAGAGGAGAGGAAACTATTTTATTTGTGCCTTCATTGAGAATTGAAGATCGATCATTAAATTTTCAAGGCAGTTAATCAATCAAACCAAGCATTTAGTCATTCTCGTATAGCAGTGGCTATAAGAAGAAAAGGTTGATAAATACTGAAGTTCAGTCATCTTACTTCAACTTGGCAGCAAGATCCCAGAGGATAAAGGATATAAAAAGTATACCTATCCTGTAAATCAAAGCATTTTGGTGCCTGCAAAGGCTTGCGTTATTTGTGGTGTGCTCGCGGAGTGAGGCTTTGGGCGTTTTTGTTGTGTTTATGTGGAGATTGAATATAACTGTGACCCTGTGTTTGTTTGTGTATTTACTACAGTCAAACATCACATTCACATAAAATACTCACCTAGCTCATAGGTGTACCCTGCAGAATTTGTACTTGTTGATGTCTGGAGCATGAACAAAGCACTAAAGTATCTCAATTATCATTTCCCACATTTTCTGAGCATCTAACATGGCAATACAGCAGTGCAGAGCAGCTTCAGAGAAGAAACACTTTCAATGCACAGACTGACACCAGCCACCCAATGAGCCAGTTCCTCATTTGGCTGTTTCCATGGATGCGGCTTGGCAAAGGTGAGCTAACTTGGCAACGGCTTGACGCGAGCTGTTTTTAAGTTGTTAGCAGGTAAGATTGAGTCATGGTGAGTATCTATCATATAACTGGGTGCTTCTGCTATGAGTAGATTGCAAATATGTGTGATGATTGAGGTTAGGTTAGGTTAGTCAGGGCCCTGTTTCACCAGTGATAGCAGCACGCTGCTTATACACGTGTCAAATTGGGTTTCCATGGAAACATCAACAGGCCCATTGCTCCAACACTACCACAAGTGTGACGTCAGTTCGTGCAATTGGATAGCAGCGTGGTAGCAGCATCCCGTGAAACACCGCCCTGGTCACATTTTTTATGGACACCTGGCAAATTAACTAAAAACTAGCATAACCTAATCTAACCTGACCAAACTAAACCTACACAACTACTAACTATAGGCACTAAGCACCTAAGTTCTTGTGCCTACATCTCATACCAACTCAAAATAAAGTTCCTTGCTGGAAGATAACCCTCCAGTACATTTTATAACATCCCTGTGAAGAAGACTAATACTTCTAAATCCTGAGTCACACTTCTGGCCATCCACAGAAAGAAGCGCTGAGAGCTTTGCTATTGTATATTGGACCAAAGATCATTGTCACGAATGACTATTAACACGTATTATATGATCATATCGTTGCATGGCTTGTCACATTCACAATTTTACTGAAATCCTTTTTCAAGAAATGCAAAGTTTCATTTGCCAGACACTTGAGTAATGCACATTACCATCTGCATAGCAAAGTAAAGCTGCCTGAGTTCGCTCATTCTAGATTTTTTCACTTCATAGTCAGCGCTTCATAGTTATAATCTTGCTGTTATAAGTTATAATTAATTATTCATCCCAATACATCAATAGACAATATGCAATCATCATCAGCAAACATTTTCTGGCTTGATACTGCTCGGCGTACTCTTCAGTATTGATCTCCTGCAATAATATGGCTTGTTTTTAGCCAATAAGCTCTTTTAATTTTACTTTTATTGCTGATAAGTGAGCCAGATCAACCTGCGTTTATCAACCAACATTTCATAACTTCAACTTGATCTTGCTCAGGACGATCAGGACCTCTCTTAGCCTCCTCCTGGATACTTGGGATTGTTTTCAGTCAACATGCTTCTTTAATATGCTATAAGTCAATCACAAGAGATTTAAGACATCCAACAAAACGTACACGAGTACACGAGTACGAAAACCTCCAGATGAACTCGAAAAAGGCCTTGGAACAGAGCCAAGTGGTGCTCCGTTTGTTTGTTTACAATAATAGTAGTACTGATGTATTGTTTTAGGACTCTAACGTTCGGCTTATAAAAATTGAAACATTTTTACAAAATCTGTAAGGCAAGTAATATTTCTCTGAAAGAACTAAAATATTCAAAAGCCAAACACTATGAAATACAGGAATCGGAGCGAAAAAGTAACCCAAAAAACCAGCCTAATCACCGACTCCTAAAACTGCGACAAAATCAGCACTTTTCCCCGCAACTCGTTGTCCAGACGTAAATATGCCACTGTAACTAGACACAGTGACTAGTATAACATTTTAAAACTTCAGGTCAACTGGTGACTTTTGAGGGCAGGTCAAGCGGTGTGGTTTTAAGTGAGCTATTGTCTATTACACCAAAAACTGTTGCAGAGCTGAAATATGTGCATCATTTGATTCTGTAAGTCTTCCTGTGCCCAATGATGGCTTTCCTGACTTGCTAGCAGTTAGCTCTATTTGATTGGGAGTTATTGACAAAAACTGTAATGAATTCATTGCCATGTATGACAACACACGAGATCAACCATGCCACAGTTAAGCATCAGACCTTGTAAACAGTGTATAAAGCCACAATTTCATATACTTTAGATAAGATAAGATCAATTCTGGAGCCAAAATACCTAACAGTTCCTATACTCTCCTTGATCTGCACTGATGCATAATAGTGAGGTCATGTGCCTAACCTCACCTCAAGTGACATGAAACAATCTGAGATAAGAACATTCAACACCAAGTGAGCTAGGCAGGTACCTGCTTTACTGGGAGATTATTTATCATAATGCAGTTGATGAAAAGCTCCAGTAAGTAGGGTAGAAGTTGGCAGGAACAGTCATGTGACCTAAAATGACCAGGAAAATACATGAGCTCAAATTCAATTTAAATAGAGAAATGCCTTTCACAAATTAACTTACCATGTTCAAAGGGTTTTCCGAGCTTCGGGTTATCTTCAAAAGCCATCACGCTCTTTAGCAAACCTGTAAGAATAGCTGGTAAGTAAATTTTTTAATATCCATAAGGGTAGTACCTACCTACGGGTGCATTCGGATAGAATGGAATATTCACCGTCCCCAAGAATATCCCCTTCTTTGGGGCGCAACTCTCTGAACGGCCAATCTTCGAGAATATTCCGCGCTCATGGATTATGGATATTCTCCTAACGCACCCCTGATGTTTATTCGCACCAGATGACAAAAGCCAGGCAAGCAGTCAAAGAGGTTCCATAAAAAGTACCTTATGTTTGGCTATAACAGCTGCAACTATTTCATTTCTAGGGCCTTGACAATACTAGACTTTAGCCCTGGTTATAACAATCCTGCATTCGGTAAATATATATATTCTATAGCTGTTCTGAATTGATCTGAATTGAAAAGTGAAACAAAAACCAGTAAAATAACCAGGTAAGATAACCCTCAGACATAGCAAAAAGTGATAAATGCATAAAATATCAACGAAATACACACAATCAATCAATCACCACCCTAGAGCTGTAGCGCCGCCACAATTGTCACGTCGCAGATATGTAATAACAAGTCTGTTCAGTCACCTCTAGTCTTACGGCAGCTTCGCGGCTTCTTATTGGTGGAATTCACACGTGCTATGCTAATCACCAATGAAATACCGAGGAACGCGGCAAACAGGCATATTTACGTCTGGACAACGAGTTGCGTTGGAGAGGCCGGAAATAGTGGCGATTTCTGGACCGCAAGAATGGACCGTCATTGGAATGATTCTTTTTCAAACCGTGCACTGTTTTTAGCCGGAATTTAATAGTTACTACAAAATATTTTTGTCATTACATTTGGCTAAGAATGAATGCCATCAGGGAAGGTTTTACTGCCGCTGCATTTTGTCCAGAAACATATAGTGCTGTTATATTGCAGTTTTTGCGCTTTTGTTACAAAATATGAAGCGAACATGCATCAGGCTCTCGTCCATCCACTAAGAAGTTATTAAATATTTTGTTTTGTGTATTCCAAGAGGAGAGGAAACTATTTTATTTGTGCCTTCATTGAGAATTGAAGATCGATCATTAAATTTTCAAGGCAGTTAATCAATCAAACCAAGCATTTAGTCATTCTCGTATAGCAGTGGCTATAAGAAGAAAAGGTTGATAAATACTGAAGTTCAGTCATCTTACTTCAACTTGGCAGCAAGATCCCAGAGGATAAAGGATATAAAAAGTATACCTATCCTGTAAATCAAAGCATTTTGGTGCCTGCAAAGGCTTGCGTTATTTGTGGTGTGCTCGCGGAGTGAGGCTTTGGGCGTTTTTGTTGTGTTTATGTGGAGATTGAATATAACTGTGACCCTGTGTTTGTTTGTGTATTTACTACAGTCAAACATCACATTCACATAAAATACTCACCTAGCTCATAGGTGTACCCTGCAGAATTTGTACTTGTTGATGTCTGGAGCATGAACAAAGCACTAAAGTATCTCAATTATCATTTCCCACATTTTCTGAGCATCTAACATGGCAATACAGCAGTGCAGAGCAGCTTCAGAGAAGAAACACTTTCAATGCACAGACTGACACCAGCCACCCAATGAGCCAGTTCCTCATTTGGCTGTTTCCATGGATGCGGCTTGGCAAAGGTGAGCTAACTTGGCAACGGCTTGACGCGAGCTGTTTTTAAGTTGTTAGCAGGTAAGATTGAGTCATGGTGAGTATCTATCATATAACTGGGTGCTTCTGCTATGAGTAGATTGCAAATATGTGTGATGATTGAGGTTAGGTTAGGTTAGTCAGGGCCCTGTTTCACCAGTGATAGCAGCACGCTGCTTATACACGTGTCAAATTGGGTTTCCATGGAAACATCAACAGGCCCATTGCTCCAACACTACCACAAGTGTGACGTCAGTTCGTGCAATTGGATAGCAGCGTGGTAGCAGCATCCCGTGAAACACCGCCCTGGTCACATTTTTTATGGACACCTGGCAAATTAACTAAAAACTAGCATAACCTAATCTAACCTGACCAAACTAAACCTACACAACTACTAACTATAGGCACTAAGCACCTAAGTTCTTGTGCCTACATCTCATACCAACTCAAAATAAAGTTCCTTGCTGGAAGATAACCCTCCAGTACATTTTATAACATCCCTGTGAAGAAGACTAATACTTCTAAATCCTGAGTCACACTTCTGGCCATCCACAGAAAGAAGCGCTGAGAGCTTTGCTATTGTATATTGGACCAAAGATCATTGTCACGAATGACTATTAACACGTATTATATGATCATATCGTTGCATGGCTTGTCACATTCACAATTTTACTGAAATCCTTTTTCAAGAAATGCAAAGTTTCATTTGCCAGACACTTGAGTAATGCACATTACCATCTGCATAGCAAAGTAAAGCTGCCTGAGTTCGCTCATTCTAGATTTTTTCACTTCATAGTCAGCGCTTCATAGTTATAATCTTGCTGTTATAAGTTATAATTAATTATTCATCCCAATACATCAATAGACAATATGCAATCATCATCAGCAAACATTTTCTGGCTTGATACTGCTCGGCGTACTCTTCAGTATTGATCTCCTGCAATAATATGGCTTGTTTTTAGCCAATAAGCTCTTTTAATTTTACTTTTATTGCTGATAAGTGAGCCAGATCAACCTGCGTTTATCAACCAACATTTCATAACTTCAACTTGATCTTGCTCAGGACGATCAGGACCTCTCTTAGCCTCCTCCTGGATACTTGGGATTGTTTTCAGTCAACATGCTTCTTTAATATGCTATAAGTCAATCACAAGAGATTTAAGACATCCAACAAAACGTACACGAGTACACGAGTACGAAAACCTCCAGATGAACTCGAAAAAGGCCTTGGAACAGAGCCAAGTGGTGCTCCGTTTGTTTGTTTACAATAATAGTAGTACTGATGTATTGTTTTAGGACTCTAACGTTCGGCTTATAAAAATTGAAACATTTTTACAAAATCTGTAAGGCAAGTAATATTTCTCTGAAAGAACTAAAATATTCAAAAGCCAAACACTATGAAATACAGGAATCGGAGCGAAAAAGTAACCCAAAAAACCAGCCTAATCACCGACTCCTAAAACTGCGACAAAATCAGCACTTTTCCCCGCAACTCGTTGTCCAGACGTAAATATGCAGCAAACAGTTACCATATATGCAAAAACAAGCAGTTTGCCGATTAAATGAACAAAATATGAAAGATCATCGCAAAAATAAGACGAAAGCGCGTGGCAAACTCAAGGCGGCAAACTGCTGTGTGGTGGCCGGTGGGAGGAGGGTTGTTTGGCTGCTTTGAAAATTGAAGTGGATTTTGGCAATTACAGAGTTGCTCATTTTTTTTGTTGTACAGGCATTTAATGTTCATTATGAAGTGCTCTTTCGAATGATATAATGATTCAATGGGTTGGGACATTAGGATATTTTTGAATGTGAGAATCCTCCTCATCCATCTTTTGATATGCCATTTTTTAGAATGCTGGTAATATTCAACAGATATACAGCAGTGCTGTGAAGCAGTTGTTTCTGGTAGAAAATAGCAGGGAATCATGGCTGGTGAATGCAATGTTACAACTGGCCATTCCAATAATTGACTCATCAGGGCCCTGTTTAATGTCGCTGCGCTACAGCGCGCTAGGTGTATTGGGTTTCAATGGAAACAAACTTGGATACTCGCAACGCTGAAGAGTGAAGCATCTAGAATAAATAGTCTCAAATGTTGCACCAATGCTGTAGCGCAGCGTATCTAGGCACAGCTGGCAGCAATTTATCGTGAAACGACCCAGGGCCAGGGCTACTATAATCTGCAGGGCTGGGTAGCTGGCCATATATTGCAACCCCTTTAAAAAAGTATGGCTGGTTATGCCCAATCTTTTGCTATCTGGATAGAGATACAAGATAACAGCCAGATTAAGGTCATTTTGATTTGGCAATTGACCTGCACTGCACATGTGTAACAAACTGAAACATTTAAAATTGGCTGTCGCAGAGATTTTTGAGATAATAACAGGTTTGTGCTCAAGCAAAAAAAAACATTTCTATGTTTGAAGGCTTGGGCCTGGGTTTAACAGATTCTAGAACGAAGAACCCTGGGAGAAGAGAGCAAATTTTGGAATATTTGACTGGAGATCTTTGGGACTCACAATTTGTCCGCTGGTAATGCTAGATTGCTGAGTGTGAGGGTCTTAGCTTAATAACCCTGTTAAAAGTCTTCCAAGAGACTGTAGGTAATAGCAAGTGTCCAGTAATCCAGTTGCCCCAAACCGTTGGCTTCACAAAAGCAGGGAGAATATTTTCTAATTGAGGATTCTGAGTACTCACTTGTATTTTGGTGAGGCTGTGTATAGTTGATTTGGGAATGGTAATTGAAGGTTTAGTGCTCAGTTGCTGATATCAGTGTTACTTAAGGAGATGCTGATGACAAAAAAGGGTGTTTAGATTCTTATACAGAGTGCAGGTTAGGGTCAAACCATCTTCAGATAGCACTTCAGAGACTTCTGATCAGAAAGGTATTATTGATTCAATGCCCATTGCCCTTACAGGTAAATTTGAACAGGCCTTAGTTTGAACCTGATATCCATCATGAAATTACACTTGAGAAGCTGAGCACTATCCTTATTTTACTTTTTCATTACAAAACTTCCCTGCCCAACTTTGACAAGCAATGTGTGCACTGTGCATCTGCAGGAGCCATGTCTGTATCCGACGAGGAGTACCGCGAGCGACAGGAGAATGAGGTGCTGGTCATCCAGTCGATGTACCCGGCACCGGGCGAGTTCGAGGACCTGCGTCAGAACGACGTGTGGAAGACGCCGCGGCCGCCGGAGATGGCGCTACGGCTGCAGGCGGCTGCGCAGCCGGGACAGACGGCCAGCGGGCTGCGGCTGCGGCTCAAGATGCCGCCCCAGTACCCGGACCTGCCGCCCGAGATCCGGCTGGAGGAGCCGCGTCAGCTGTCGGACGCGGACGTGGCACGGCTGCGCGCCGAGCTGCAGCGCGCCGCCGAGCAGCTGCGCGGCTCCGAGATGGTCCAGGAGCTGGCCGACCGCTGCCGCGAGCTGCTGACCGCCGTGAGCCGGCCGCGGTTCGACTCGCTGCACGCCGAGAAGGAGCACCGCGAGCGCGTGGAGGCCGAGGCGGCGGCGGCGCGTGCTCACCAGGAGCGCCAGCGGCAGGAGGAGGAGCGCGCGCGCTGCCGCTCCGAGGTGCAGCGCGAGCAGCGCCGCCTGCTGGCTGAGGAGCGCCGCGCCGCACGCCGCCGCTTCTCCGAGAGTCAGCTCGACTCGGGCACGGCCTGTGTCTCGGAGAGTGCCGAGTGCGCCGAGCACGCGGGCGCGCGCCGGCTGACGGTGGCCGGCAGAGACGAGCTGCTGGTGGGCCAGTGTCTGCAGCACACGGCCGCCGGCGCCGCCGTGCGCGCCTGCCTGGACACCCGCTCTGGCGAGCCGCTGCGCGTGCAGCAGTGGTCAGTGCGCTGGCGGACGGCCAGCCGCACCCGAAAGGTGCACGACGCGGCCGCCGAGCCGGCCGGCCGCGAGCGGCGCACCGTGCTCGACCAGCTGTCGGCGCTGCAGCGCGAGGTGGCGCGGCTGGCCAAACACCGACACGACAACCTGCTGCACTACCTGGGCATGTGCTTTGAGGAGACGGCCGCCGGCGCTGAGGTGTTCGTGCTGCAGGAGTTCGCGCAGGGCGCCGATCTGAGCTGGCACGTGCGTCACGGCGGCCGCGCCGAGCCGGCTCTGCTGAGGCTGCTGGCGGCCGGACTGACGGCGGCGTTGGCGCACCTGCACTCGCGCGACATCACCCACCGCGACCTGCGGCACACGAGCGTGCTGCTGGAGAGCAGCGGTCAGGTGCGGCTGGCAGACTACTCGGTGGGCCGCCGGCTGGCCGAGCTAGCCGGCGCGCCGACGCCCCCACCGCCCGACTACCCGCCCTACACGGGCCGGCCCAAGAAGGCGGACGTGCAGCGACTGGGCGCGCTGCTGGCCGCAGTGGCGCGCGGCGGCCTACGCTCGGAGCCGTCGCCGCCGCCCGACTGGCTGCCCGCGCCGGCGCGCGACTTCCTGGCGCGCTGTCTGGAGCCGGACGAACAGCGGCGCTGGTCAGCCGCCGAGCTGGCCGAGCACGGCTTCCTCAGCGGCGACTGGCGCCGGCCGGACGCGCCCCTGCCGGCCGCCGCCGATGTGCGCGACGACCCGGTGGCAGCGGCGGCGGCGCCTACTCCGGAGCCGGCGGCGGCCGCGCTGCCGCTGCCGTCCGGCTCCAGCCAGCAGCTGGCCAACAACTTCCTCATCCTGGAACACCTGGGGCAGGGTGGCTTCGGGGAGGTGCTGAAGGTGCGCAACAAGGTGGACGGCAACCTGTACGCCGTGAAGAAGATTATGCTGGAGCGGGACCGACCGCAGGACCTGAAAAAGATCAGCGTGGAGGCACAGCACCTGGCAATCCTGCAGCATGAGAACATCGTGCGCTACTACACCTCCTGGATGGAGACTGAGGACGCCGCGGATGTGGAAGACAGCGAGGACGGTGAGAGCGAAGACGAGGAGACGCTCAGCGGGCCTGACGAGGAGGATGAGGACGAGTCCTCGGACGGTATCTTGTTCGCCTACGTGTCGGAGGGCGGCGGCGGCCCGGCAGGGGACGGTCCGTCGCCGCCGGCCGCCGGCCCGGAGCCCAACTGCGAGCCGAGCGGCAGCCGGCGGCGGCGGCGGCCGGCGCGCACGCGTCGCTGTCTCTGCATTCTGATGGAGTACTGCGAGAAGAGCACTCTGCGCACGGCGCTGCCAGAACTGCCGCGCGACCAGCAGCGCCTCTGGCGACTCTTCAGGGAGATCGTCGAGGGCCTGGCACACGTGCACGGTCACGGCCTCACCCACCGCGACCTGAAGCCCGACAACATCTTCCTGGACCGGAGTGAGCACGTCAAAATCGGTGACTTCGGCCTGGCCACGTCCAAAGTGGTGCGGCCGCGTGCCGAGGAGGCGGGCGCCGAGCGGCCGCAGGGCCCGGCCGCCGCTGATGTTTCGGACACGTCGTATGCGTACGCGGTGGGCACGGCGCTGTACCGTGCTCCCGAGCTGGAGCCGGCGCCGGCCGACGGCGAGCACGGCTCGACGCGCCGCGCCCGCTACACCAACAAGGTGGATCTCTACAGTCTGGGCGTCATCTGGTTCGAGATGTGCTGCGGCACCTTCGCCACCGGTTCGGAGCGCATCCACCGGCTCTGTGAGCTGCGCAAGCCCGACATGCACATCGGCGACGACATCCGGCAGCGGCTGACGGACCAGCAGGTGCAGCTGCTCGGCCTGCTGCTGCAGCACGAGCCGACGAAGCGGCCCTCGTGCGTGGAGCTGCTCAGCTCCGATCTGATGCCCTCACCGCCGCTGGAGGAGGCGCGCCTCCGTAAAATATTCCAGGACACCGTGCTCAAGCCCAACACGCGCCGGTACGCGCACATGGTGGACGCGTGTTTCTCGCAGCGCGCCACGGCCACCGACGACTGTGCGTACGACGTGCAGCTGGGCCGGCGCGCGGTGGCGCCCGAGCGCGGCGCGCTGGCGGCCGTGGCGCGCCGCCGGCTGGAGCGGCTGTTCGAGCGGCACGGTGCGGCGCCGCTGCCGCCGCCGCTGCTCACTGTGTCGCTCTCGGCTTCAGCGGACGGCGCCGCGGTGCGCCTGATGACCGGTACCGGCCGGCTGGTGGAGCTGCCCCGCTCGCAGCGCCGGCCGCTGGCGCGACTGCTGGCGCGCGCCGGCACCGCGCCGCTCCGACACTACGCCATCGAGCGAGTGTACGAGGAGCGGCTGCCACGCGGGCAGCACCCGCGCGAGCGGCTCGAGGCGCTGTTCGGCAGCCTGTCGGCGCCGGCGGCGGCGGCGCTGGCGGACGCTGAGCTGCTGTGCGTGCTTTCGGAGCTGGTGGCGCTGTTCCCGGCGCTGGCCGACCGCGAGTACCGGCTCGTGCTGGGGCACACGCTGCTGCTGGAGGCGTCGCTGGAGGCGGCCGGTGTGCCCACTGAGCGGCGTCAACAGGTGGTGGAGCTGCTCTGCCGGCACGACGCCGACTCTCAGCGGCAGCAGGTGAGGTGGGGAACGGCGCACCTCTGCCCGACGGGGCTGGGAAAGTACGTACGTGACAGCCGGCTGGAACCCTGTGGGGAGTAGGACAGTGTCAGGGGGACACGACAGCATGGCCTACTGTCTGCATTCTGCATTCTACAGACTCTTTCTTGTTTGATTCCAACATTGTGTCAGTCACTGGTGCTCTATAGCCAACAACAGTGTGGCAGTGCTTCTGACTGTTATTCCACACTGATGTGAACGGAACCGATCCTGGACTGTCGTACCCGCTGGTGAGTGCCGCCCGCTGTCGGTAGGTCTGTATGTATGTATGCTTGTATGTGCAGGTGCAGCGGGGGCTGGAGGCGCTCGGCCTGTCTGACTGTCTGTGTCTGTCTTTCTGTCTGCACAGGTACAGCGGGGGCTGGAGGCGCTCGGCCTGTCTAACTGTATGTGTCTGTCTGTCTACACAGGTCCAGCGGGGATTGGAGGCGCTCGGCTTGTCGGCCAAGTGTATCAACCAGCTGTGGTTCCGTCTGGAGCTGCGCGGGAGTCTGGAGCGCGTGCAGCAGCAGCTGAGCGGCCGCCGGCCGTCTGAGGCGGCCCGTCAGGCGCTGCACGAGCTCACCACCGTCACTGATTACGCCGAGCGGCTGGGCGTCACGCTGCCCGTGCTGGTGTACCCAGGTGAGTACAACTGTGACGGGGATGGTCAGGGGACTAAGATGTGCGGGTGATCATTTTATGTATTTGTGGTTGTGATCGCCCCTGTCCGTCGTGCCTGGATGCTTGTTTGGTATACTGGTGATTCTTGCGTGTGCCGGTGGTAAGTGTGCCGGTGGTAAGCACTGATTAGCCGTTAGTGTTTCTGTCATTGTCTACTAGCCGTGTCCACCGGTTGCCCGCGATCAGTACTGCCACTGGGCACTGCCATTTGTCATTTTTTTTCCTGTCGGTGACCTGTCACACCGTTCGGGGCCGTGTGCCTGTTTGCCTCTGATCACTGTGCGTTGCTGACCACGGGCCCTCCTCTGACCGTGTCTGTGTACCCGCTACCAGGTCTGGTGCTGGGTGAGGAGCACAGCCAGTTCCGCGGACTGGTGTTTCAGCTGCAGTGCCCGCGGCGCCGCGGCGCGGGCAGCGCCGTGCTGGCCAGGGGCGGCCGCTACGACCCGCTACTGGCCCACTACTGGTCGCTGCTGGCTCCCGATGGCGCGCCGCAGCCGGCCGCCGCCGCCGTCTCCATCGCCTTCGACGAGCTGGCGGCGGCGGCGGCGCGCGAGGGCCGCTCGGCGGGCACGCCGTTCGACGTGGTGGTGGCGGGTGGCGGTGACCGGGCGGCGGCGCGCCGTCAGGCGGCCGTAGCGCGCCAGCTGTGGACGGCCGGCGTCAGCGCCTTCCTCTACTGCGGCGGCGACTCGCCGGCGGCTGCTGACGACGCGGCGCGCTGGGCGGCCGAGCGCGGCGCGCGCGTCCTTCTGCTGCCCAAAGACTCGGACTCTCGGATGGTGCGCGTGCGGCCGTTGGAGGGGCGCGGCACCGCCAAGGCGGTGGTGTTCACCTCTGACCTGCTGGAGCACCTGGCGCGGCTGGGTGTTAGCGGTGAGCGGTGCGGAGAGCGGCCGGCCGAGCCGCCGGCGCCGGCCGCCGAACTCTCCGTCCACTGGGTGGTGCGCAGTGCCGACTCACTGCGCTCGGGCCAGCGGCAGGCGCTGGAAGCCACCGCCGAGCGCCACCTGGCCGCCGAGCTGGCCGCGCTCGGCCCGTCCGCCCGCACTGAGCTGCTTATGGTCGAGCTGGACCGCGAGGACGTGATGCAACTGAGCCGACTGCGGCTCAACGAGCCCGAGCAGTCGTTCCAGCAGAGTGTCGACCAGGTGCTGGACGCATGCCGCGCGCAGCGCAAGTACGTGGCGCGCGTGTGTGACGAGCTGGCGCGCGTACGGGCGCGCCGCTGCACCGTACTCGTGTTCGGGTTCCAGGCCAAGTGTCACCTGCTGCTGGCCTGTGCCGGCACCGAGCACTGGCGATAGCCGTCGGACTGGACCGACCGACGGGGCGCGGAAGACGGAAGGACCGGAGGTGCCACTGCGAGGTCAGTTGCCCTCGGGGCCTGGGCCAAGTCAGTCATACGCTGTTCACCATGAAGCTTAGACTGCCGTTACGGTTTTAAAGACGGAACGTTTTCCAAAATGTTGCGTGATAACCGGCGGGTTTGGTCCTCTGACAGTGGGGGCCGTATGCGGAGTGGTGGTGCCGTGAGGATTGGTGTCGTGGTCTAGGTATCGCCGCTGACTGCGGGGCTCGTTTACTGCTGAAAAAGACACTGGGAGTCTGTGTACGCCCGAATGGAGGCTGTGTCGTGTTGCGTGTATCTTGAGAGGGGCGCCGTCCTAGCATCCAGCTGTAATTCCTGCCTCTGACGGCGAGCCGGTGTCCGCTGTCCACTGCCTTGTGGAAGTGTCCGCAGGTAGGGAGGGTGTGTCCGTTCTCCGCCGGTCGGTGTCCGCTGTCCGCCGTTCGGGACAGCAGTGCCGATGGCTGGACCAGGCTGTGAGCCGGGGCGTTGCGACCAAATCCATTTGTTAGGTATTGCAGCGCCAGTTTTACCTGTAATGTGCCTGTGGAGACGTGTGCCGTGCATGCTTTGTTCGCTGCTGTCAGCCAGTTGTGTTATGACCTATTGATGCCTAGCGGGTCCGTGCCAAAAGACAGCATTCGTTTATTTATTATTAATGGTAGTTTGACTGGGGTTAGCTTGGCTTTGTGGCATTCTATGTGTGTGAGTTCTAGTCGCCAGGTGTAGCTTCTGCTACAGTGGATCCTTATCACATTTACGGGCACAGCAATACGTTTGTACTCGTGTCTGAAAACTGCTCACATATCCTTATTACCAGACCGCTGACGAAGCGGTCGAGCGCTGGAGAGGCATTGGAAGCGGCATATTTTTGTATGGACAAGCACAAAGTGCCCGTTATTTTTGCAAACTATGGTGCAATGGTCTGTTGGTGTTTTGTTTTGTTATGCATACAAATTTGAAGTAATGGTGTTTATGATTACAGCGATGGCCGACGGTAAAAAACGCCTCGCGTGAACACAGTGCTCCAACATTGACACGTGCAGTGCAGCACTGATGTCAATGGACCGCTCTCAGCTCACAGCTGAGCCGGCTGACTGAAGTGCACTGGGCTCACGGTGGCCGTGAACTCCCGACTCAGTAAGGACTAGGGAGACGTCCCGGTTTGCCGTCGCCAGTCTAAACTCTAATTGGGAGACAGCTGCAAACCGGTCACTAGCCTCAGAGGGCAGCGTATGGTGCCCGTCCACGGGCAGCTGCATGCATGTGTCACAGCGAGTAGCGACGGCAGCGTCACAGTTACCGGTGACAGGTAATCATTGTCGGCGGACCGGTTCAATCAGGGCCGAGTGGGTATCACAGATTATACCTACTCTCTGACCGGTTCTGATCATTGTAATCCCCAGTCCCATGTAATGAATGTCTTATGTGGTATCCCATGATAATCAATGCGAGGGGGCCCGGTGAGTCGGGCCTGACTGTCCTTGTCTTTATCGCTCGGTACGTTAAGACGTTCTGTGACCTGACCTCCATCGCCGTCACCGGTCCTCACCCCCCCCCCCCATCCCGAGGAAGCCCTGTCTCGGCCGTCGGCGCCGATGAAGCCCACCAACGTCGACCTCTGCCGCTGTCGGCTGCGACGGCAGCTCAGTCGTGCCGCAGAGCCGCGCCAGACCGCTCTCCGTCAGCCGACGCCATGGAGAAGAAGGAGAGCGAGAAGTCGGCCGGCGAGGGCGAGAAGGAGGAGGAGGTGTCGCCCAAGAAGATCACGCGCCTGATGCGCCTTCTCTCGGTGGTTGGATATCTGGTGGCCGTGTCGTCTGCCGGCTTCATGATGTCGCTCTACTACATCTTTCTGTGGGATCCGTACGGCTCCGAGACGCCCAGCGCTCTGTCACTGAGGGCGGAGCGGTCGCCGCAGCTGCTGGCAGCCGGACTCGGCCGCGCTGCCGCCGCCTCACTCGGTGAGTGAGCTACTGCGCGAGTCGCTGCCGGGCTCGGTGAGCCACTGTTGGGTGAGTCGAGAGGCTGGGTGAGCCGCCACTCTCGGTGAGTAGGCGCCGGAGCGAGTCGCTTCGCTGGGTGAGTTGCCGGGATGGGCGATTGGTGGGTGTTAAATGGGTCCATAGCGCGAGGTGTCAATATTTATCTTGTATTTGTTACGCGATTTGTCACGTAGTATATACAGTTTAGTCGGTTCCTCTTGAACAATCGTGACGAATTACATATGCTGCTTCCTCTTATAAAGTTTTTTTATTTCGAATTAACAATGTTGCATGAATCTATGATGATTCATGTCACGTATCCCTTTCAAAGGCGGCAGAACGGGGAGGGCACCGGGGCACCGTGCCCTCCTTTGATTTTGGCATTTTAACATTAGCCCTATGGGCGTTGCGTGGAATGAATGGGACCAAAAGTCGGCAGTGCCCCCCCCCCCCTTAATTGAAGGTGTTCCGCCGCTACTGATCCCTTTCAATGATGTTTCGTCGTTTGTGCGTTTCAGGTCCGTCGCCACTGATTTAACGGCGCCGCCCCCGTCGCTCGGAGCTCCTCGGCTCACCGCCGATCCGCCAGCTGAGCCGTCTGTGCTGTGGGCGGAGACCTCTGCAGACAGGACACCATGTGCCCCGGTGGCACTGGCGCTACCTCCGTCAGAAGCAGCCTGCAGGTGGAGGCGGCCTAAATCGCCGGGAGCGAGACGCCGCCGGGTGGCGGCCTGCTCACAGTGACTTCTGCAGACGGTGTGAGTCCTTGTACCAACAAAAACCGTCATACCGTCAAAGAGCATACAAACGCTGTTTGGTTGACCGCACTCCTTCAGCAGTCAGCGCGCCTCGCAACGGAATGTCAGCTGACAGCTACAGTCAGAATCGCTTTTTACTTTTCATGGAGAGTCAACGGCTCCTGGTTTGACGTTTTAGATGCGCGTCCCCGCCGATTGCTTGCTCTATGTAAAATACAGACTGATACCGATAAAAGAAGCCAGTTCTGCATTTTACTTTTTTTTTGTCGTACCATTAGCTCATGCTTCTCGACTCAGCCCGCTCGCCCCCGGCCTAAGTTCGTTTAGCTCTCAGCTTGTATCCGCATCGCTCCGCTCGCCCTGACGGCTGGCACGGTCAATGTGACGCCCGCTACCCCGCAACCCCATCCCAGGCCAGTCCGGTCACAGCCGGCTGAGTAAGCCCCCCCCCCCCCCTTCCTCACAGTCCCTGCATGAGTGAGTTCCTATCAGCAGCTCTCAGAAACGAGGCTGGGTGATAGCCAGTCGCTCACCTTCCCCGTCCCCAGTTCCGCCGGCAGCAAATACTCGTCTCTCGATACGGAACTGACTGCGCAAAAACCAGCTCAGATGCGGTGACGACCAGACCAAGCACGACCTTCAATAGGAGAAATTGCGCCAACACTGCGTGGAAAGTCAGCGAGAGCGGAGATTCTGTGGGCAGTTTGCAGTGGTTCAGCTAGCAACTCCGGCGATCAATGGCATTTTCCCAGCGGCAGCGCCTGTGAACGACACATGGTCCGCTTTCGATGCACAACTCTCGGCGTGACGACTGTTGCAAGACTAACGGCTTTCACAAGTACGGCTACGGCTGCTTATAAATCAACTGGCAGTATGTAAATGTATGTATTGCAGATTCCTTAACATTCGACGTTTCTATGAATCTACGTTGTACATTCATTGTTGAAACAAGCAATACTAGGTTCACATTTCACATAAAGACACTGCGTCTCTAGACGTCATTCATAAAAATACAAAAATAAAAATCCTCTCAATATAGTACTTATACGTGTAAATAACATGTCCTTAGCCCAACCGCGGACCAGCACCGACCACATACGAGTACGGTGTCGCAGCGCCCAGCGCCCTTCTGCTGCGCACGAGTCCCCAGCACCAGATCCCGCAGCTCCGCGCCGCCGCTCACATCACGACCGACAGCACCGTTCCAGCAGCGCGCGCGGGCTCTCCCAGACAAATCCCGGCGCCTAGCTGACGAGGTGCAGCGGCGTGGAGCGCGGCGGCGACAGGCCGAGCGGGCCTGTCGGACGGAACGTGGCCTCTCCAACCCGCGGAGACGGACGGAAGTTCTCCAGCCGGGAGCTGGAGCGCCGGGCGGCCGCCGCTGTCCGCCGCGGCTCCGGACCGGCGGCCGGCGCCGTCCGCTGAACGGAGACCGACGACCGCGACGACTTGGCGGCCGCCAGCCGCTCCAGCACCCGGGCGCGTCTCTCGGCGATCTTGCGCAGCCGCTCCCTGCGGCTGACCGGCGGCGAGATGACGGCTATGGCGCGCGAGCGGCTGCGTGCCGGGGACACCGCCGCCTCCTCCGACGGCGACTCGGGCTCGATCACGCGCCGTGACGGTCTGAACGGGCGGTCGCCGTCCGACGAGGCCGATGGCGGCGATGGCGCCGAGCCGTCAAAGAATGGGCTGGCGGTAACCGGCGGCGCGGGCTCGGCGAGCTTGGCGGGCTCGGTCTCAGGCCGGTGCTCGATCTCGTTAATGCGCTGCCGGTCTCTGGCGGCGCTGTCGCCGTCCGCGGGCTGGCCACGCCGCCGGCTGAGGTCGGAGGCTGAGATCAAAGACCCGCGGCTGATGTCGGAACCTGAGGTCAGAGGCCGGCGGCTGAGGTCGCTCAGAAGCAGAGGCCGAAGGCTGAGATCGGGGGCTGAGGTCTGAGACCCACGGCTGGGGTCGGAGGCCGAGTTCGGACCCCGGCGGCTGAGGTCGGTCAGCAGCAAAGGCCGACTCCTGGGGTCGGAGGCTGAGGCCAGAGTCCGACTCCTGGAGTCGGAGGCTGAGGCCAGAGGCCGACTCCTGGCGTCGGAGGCTACTGGGCGCAGTTCGGTGCGCTGTTCGGTGAAGGCGGCCGGCGGCGGTGTGCCCAGTGGCGGGAACAGCGGCAGCTGGTCGCTGGTGCGCGCCAGCGGAATGGACGCTACCGACGGCAGTCGGCCCAGGCGGTTCAGGGAGGAGCCGCCCTGCCGACCGCCGTCCGCCGCCGCGCCGGTCACGGCGGCCGTCCACGCCTGCGGACAGGGACGAAACATGAAATAACGTTTTAACAGCACATTACTCGGCACGGACGTAACACAACAGCAACAGCACAGGGCGCATGTCTCACACACGGAACACAACATCTTACAGGATAGATCTCACAGATAAAACACAGTAGCAAACAACAAATGTACACATGATGCGGCAGGACCTGAGGAACGCGGCAGATAATGTATGACGCTGAGTGTCCTTTACATTTTACATGGCACGAAGAGAGCGCCAAACACACGTGTCAGGAAAGGGAAGTGGTCTAAGTTTCTCACAGTGCCGTAGTTGATCACTCACCAACAATACGGCCCATAGTACGGAAGCCGCTCGCACTGACGCCATGCTTATCCGTTGGCTGACGGGGTGACTGATGCGGCGGCTGAACGAACGACGGACGTCGGACCGTGAGGTGGCGGCCCGGTGGAGGGTTTATGAAAATCAACACCCGCCCGGGTAAGCAACTCTGTGCTCGCAGCCGCGTCCAGTCACGGTGCGGGGCGCTCGCCGGGTACGATGTCGCGCTGACCCCGTCTGTCAGCAGCTCCGACCGGCCGCGCCCGGTACCGGTGTTGCGCGATCGGCTGGGTCGCGGCGCTGGTCGAGCTGTCGGTCTCGGCGGCACGTGCACGCTGCTCGCCGTCCAGTGGCAGACTGGCGGCTCGCCGGCGGAGCGGAGAGACGGAGCGGGCCGCCAGAGCACGAGGCGCCGCCCAGCGCGCGCCGTCTATGTGCCCGAAGTGCCGGGGTGTGGGAATACCTTTATCCCCAGCCTGCTCGCTGCTGACAGCCAGGTGTGTGTCGTAGTGACCGTGCAGGGGCTCCTACACGGCTGGATAGTTCAGAGCGACGCATGGTCTGAGGTTAAAAATTTGATTGTTACAACCGTAGATATAAATAGGCATATAATGTAGTACAGATCAATTGAGCGAGCGTACTTAGAGAAGACCCCATTCAATGAGCCGCGGAAGTCTATCAACTATCGATCAGACTTCGGTGTAGCATCAGTCAACTAGAAACCAGTCCCGCCTTCCTTCGTAAGAACCATCACAAATATGTGTGCCCGATTTGTAAATGCTGTGGCATCAAATATGCGATGTGTCAGTACGAACACTAACGTAAAAATCCGTGAGCATCGCGACTGTCCGTTGCGATGCCTGATATATTGCTCATGTTTGTTTCTTCATATCGGACAGTATTTCGAGCGTTTGTTTTTGTGTGTGCTCTATGTGTGAAGCTCAAAAGCGGCATCACACTACGCGAGCTTGGTCTGTTGAGCTAATACGCTATATCCGCCAGTCATCGATCACCAGGCACCATCCACCATTTATGTATAAGGCAGTCACTTGCCATCAGCGTCACCAGTCACCATTCACAAGGCAGAGTCAACAGCCATCGCTCACCAGCCATCGGTCACCAGTCGTCGGTCATCGGTCGCCACCCGGAGTCTCGGGCCGCCGCTCGTGCCGTGGCAGTTATGATAGCGGCACGGCGGTCGTCACCTGTGCAATGTGCACCTGGCGGCTGGCCGACCCGGCAGCGCCCCGAGCCGCCGTCCTCCGCCGTCACATACATCAGAACAGTCCGAGGCCCATCCGGGGCCAGGGTGACTACAGGGGTACAGGGACGCTGCCCACTCGCAAGGACGTCCTATGATACCTGTCCGTGGCCAACCAGGGTGACCACAGGACAGGGGAATAAGGCACGCTGTCCACTGACCACTGGTCTGTGACGGGAACTTATGAGCCGAGAGCAATGGCAGCTAGGGACACAGGTCGTATCTGATAACTCATTGTATACCCAATGATAAGTAAATAGCCGAGTGCCTTACTATATTGACACAATTCCCAGCTTCAATGGATAAAATTGTTAGTCTTTGCAAAGGGCGCGCGTAATGATGCAGTTCAATGTAACATTAATCACATTAGATGATGTGAAGTTATAGAGACGAGACGCTCAGGAGATTTGGTCTCACGACGCCCGGGACCCGATATTGAGGTCCATTTCCTGTGTCATTACAGGCCTCCCGCCGGCGTGACCTCGGTGACCCGACATTGACCCCGGCCGGGTCAACTCCCACGGCCGGCGCCGGGTGGCACGAGCCGTGATGGGCCCATCGGCGACGGGTCCCACCACTGCAGGTCCGATAGACGTAACACGACGTCTCTCGCCCGGCGGCAGCCCCCAGCGATCCGACCGACCAGACAGATCGGGGGGGGGGGGGGGCGTCCCTCGCCCGGTGGCGGTCCCACTGTCCGACCGCCTAGTCATCATACCGCGGTCCGGATGATTGAGTTCACAGAGCACACATTCGAGCACACACATGCCTTTACAGGCGCCATGAATGCAGTGGGATACATGGAGTGCAGCCCAATCTGGTTAGTGGTTGCACAACACGAAAGTTTGAATGAAATGCTTGGAGATTCCCAGACTGATTTGTATGTATCCGTCGTGATGCGCGCTACGCTAGTATTGAAGCTAAAGATCTCAGACGCAGACATGACATTCATTACTTCAGTCCGAGCATTGCACTGGTTTAATTATCCATTTGAGTAGGATTTCGGGTTTTTTGAATTGCTCAGTTTTTGCAGCGAGCTTTTTCTCTTAGGGCCTGCGAGATAGCTGCGTACAGACATATCTCTTCAGCATTAGACGTTGACCAGGAATGCGGCTGAATCACGTGCGATTGTGAGTGAGGTACCCCCAGTGTGAAGATTCGGCTGTAGAATATGTAGTTTTAAATACGTAGTTTGACGTAGATCTCGGAAAAGTGAGATACGGCCAGAAATGAGTGTGGGTACCTCCGTCCTGAAGATTCTGATCGGCGCCGATTGAAATAATTCGCGGTGCATATCTCGGCTTATTGACGACCGATTGACACGGGACAAACACCGATCGATACCAAATGGCTCTGGGGGGGGGGATAGAGTGGCAAGTTTTCCTACCCGACGAACCCGGAATTATCCCGAGGGGGTAGGGGTGGGAGTAGAGTCGGGGAAACGGGGGGCGAGTACAAGTACCAAGTACTTTCGCAAGTACCAAGCAAGTACCAAGTACTTTTACAAGTACCAAGCAAGTACCAAGTACTTATACAAATACCAAGCAAGTACCAAGTACTTTGGCAAATACCGAGTACTTATGCAAATACCAAGCAAGTACCAAGTACTTTGGTAAGTACCGAGTACTTTGGCAAGTACCAAGCAAGTACCAAGTACTTTTGCAAGTTCAGCAAGTTTTTCGCCAATATCAAAGCTTCTAGACGTCCGACCGTCACCGGAAAAACACCATTCCATCCCAAATTTTCTCCCGAATCTTTTTATGGCCAAAGCGACGCGGAGCGAGCCAAGATATCTTGTAGCTACCAGTAACATTTGGCATTTATCGCACTGCTGGTTGCACAAACGTTGCGAAATTACTATTAACCAGCCGAACCGCGACGTCGTATACGGTGCATAAGCCCCATTTACTCTGAGCAGAGCAACACTGGCGACCTTCGTGCGCACATAGCGCTCACAGCATTTACAGGATTGTGAACAGTTGTGCGGGATGGTCTGAATGCACACGCGGAATATTCGGACAGGACCAGGGTATAATGAGGGCAGGTCAGGACGGCCAGTTTGTGTCCGACGGGGTGCCAGACGCCAGTAACCGGCTGCGCAGGTCAGGACCAAGGTACTCCTTCAGAACACTGACCGTCCGGCACGGTCGCTGCGGCACGGAAAGCATTGGGCGGGGGACCTGGTGGAGTCCCGCTTTTAGGCAGCACTGTGCTCAGTCCGAGCCGAGACCTGGGCGGGGGTTCAGCCGATTATATAGCCTTGGTTCGGTCGGCCACACCGGACCACTGACGGATGGTCCCTCCCGGCGGCTCTGTATATGCATGTGTGAGCCGGTGGCGCCGGGGAGGAGTGACAGTGCCGACCGTCCGCAGCCCCACAGAGAGCAGCGGCCACTGTCCACCGTCACCGACCTCGTCTGAAGTAGGTAAATTGCAAAACGGGTGCGGCGCGGGAGCCGGACCGACCGGCGGACCGCGGCCGGAGCGCCGCCGCTCACCCGTCCGGAACACCGACATCTCCCGGCCGCCGACATCGCTTTCCTGCCGCTACCGCAGTCCGCACACGCCCATACCAGCGTCCCGTCGCCCCGCACAGTGCAATCACGACACCAAAATTCACGGCGCGTGAAACCAGCGGGCGAACTGCGGGCAGTGCCGTGCCCACCCGCGGTGGTCGGCGCCCGCCTGTCGCGTGCTCGACCGGCGTGGCGCACGGCTCGTTAACCCGGACGGCGCGACTGCGAGCCACCGTCATCTCGATATGATGATGGCGTCATCAGGGCGACGGTGGACTTTCTCAGGGCGCAACTTTTCTGTTTGGGGCGGCGGTGTCGGCTCACTGGAGGAGCATTAGCTGCGTGAGGTAACCGTGCGGTGGCCGATACGGTCTTGGACGGAGCTGGGCGGTGTTCGGTGGTGTGTCTGAGACTCAGAGAGCTGACCGGCGGTTTGTTACTTCATACACCGACCACCGGCCACGGCCACCAGACTGACAATACAGCTGATCACGTCCCAATCGTGTATTACAATTAGGTACTAATATTAGGCGCGTTGAATAGGCAGTGGCGGCGGAAGGTATTCTAGGATAGGGGTGCAAACGATATTGAAGCGCCCCTTCCCACTGGGCGCCCCTTACCATATACACGGTTGTAGTAACACAAACAGTGAAGAGACGTTTGACAATGTGTTGTACCTGTTAACACGTTCAGAATTACAGTTTTTATGTAACGAGAATGAGAAATAGTTAGGTACATTCCATAGCGTAAATGTAACCTTCATAATGTTCGTTTAGAAACAACCTCATCACCATATCATAAGATTCTCCGAATAAGGCATATCGAAAAGAGTTCCACGGTTCTAATACCTTCGTGTGGACTAGTGAATAAGGCGCCGAATCCATAACACTAACTCGGTGACAGAGAATTGCAGGCCGGTAAGCAGCATGCCGCCTGGGCTGCACTGCACTATTGCATTCAGCGGTGTCATCAGTAGGTATCACGTCAGCCCTTCGGAACGGACATCCTGGCTCAATGTCATCAGGTTTATGGTGGGAGGAGTAGCAGGTTTGTGACGCCCCAGTGAAATAAATGCCGCCTTTCAACACCGATAGGAGCCCGAAATGAATGAATACAGGCAATCAACGCTGGTAGGTGTCCCAGCGAAATGAATGCATCAATGACCACCCAGAGGTGCCCCCATTTCAAACTAATACGACGGCGACGCCTCCACACCGATAGGGGCCCATCCCAGGGGAACGGAATAAATGCCGCCCCCTCATTGCCGGGCGCCCCAGGAGAATGAATGTTACACATCAACACCAATATGCCTCCCAGTGAAATGAATTATGAATGTCGCCTTTCGACGCCAGTAGGCGCCCCAGACACCAGTGGATTTACTGCCGCCTTAACCCTCGCACCGACGGGGGGGCGGATATCCGCCCCCCCCCCCTGAGGTTTTTCGCGAATAGCGGGAAAACCGCGGCGCGTAGCGCCGCGAAATTTGGTATGACTATAACCTCATCAATTTTACACATGGTGTGCAAGTTTGAACCTCCTACCTTTTAAGGTCAGGTCACCAGGTCACTTTGAATGACCCAAC